ATTACAGGGAAAAATATATTGCGTTTTCCATGTATTTTATTATGGATAAGCTACATAGGATATTGCCACTGACATCAACTGGCTGAACTCAGTGAAATATCTTGATCCGTTATATACATACTACATATCTATTTTTATAGTACGGAATATGATCAAACGAATAGCCGTATACACAGCCTTTCAAAATAATTTACTAAAAACTGTATATCGAATTAAGGAAATTGGTAAACAAGGAAAGTAGTAAATTGGCTGAAAGATGATACACAAATACAGGAATGATGTTTACTTATGTAGGTCTCTCAAAATCACATATTCGAGAGGCTTTTATATACTCCCATGCACCACAGGCTAGGAATCCCTGTTTTAAAAGTAAGGGCCATTACTATGGTCGTTCAGAGAGAGAAATAACCCTTAGGATAAACAAATTCACAGACACGTATATAAACGAAAGAACAGGTCAACAAACATGTGTAGTTATAGATCAAAATGATATGCGTCTTGATTCTTTATGTTTTTTGCATCAATTTCACATACCCTCTTGCTCACGTATCCACAACCCACATCCCTCATGTGAAGAACAGACAAGTGCAGTTATAGATCAAATGATATACATCTTGATATACATTTCACATTTGCTCACGTATCCACAACCCACAACCCTCATGTGAAGAAACAGACAAGGCAGTTATAGATCAAATTGATATACATCTTATATACATACTTTGCTCACGCCACAACCCTCATGTGAAGAAACAGACAAGTGCAGTTATAGATCAAATTGACATACATACTTTGCTCACGTATCCACAACCCCACAACCCTCATGTGAAGAAACAGACAAGTGCAGTTATAGATCAAATTGATATACATATTCTTATGTTTCTGCATCAATTTCACATACTTAGCTCACGTATCCACAACCCCACAACCCTCATGTGAAGAAACAGACAAGTGCAGTTATGATCAAATTGATACATCACATACCTCACGTATCCACAAACCCCACAACCCTCATGTGAAGAAACAGACAAGTGCAGTTATAGATCAAATTGATATACATACTTTGCTCACGTATCCACAACCCCACAACCCTCATGTGAAGAAACAGACAAGTGCAGTTATAGATCAAATTGACATACATACTTTGCTCACGATCCACAACCCCACAAACCCTCATGTGAAGAAACAGACAAGTGCAGTTATAGATCAAATTGACATACATCTTGCATACTTTGCTCAGTATCCACAACCCCAACAACCTCATGTGAAGAACAGACAAGTGCAGTTATAGATTCAAATTGAATACATACTTTGCTCACGTATCCACAACCCCACAACCCTCATGTGAAAACCAGACAAGTGCAGTTATAGATCAAATTGACATACATTACTTTGCTCACGTATCCACAACCCCACAACCCTCATGTGAAGAAACAGACAAGTGCAGTTATAGATCAAATTGACATACATCTTGATATACATACTTTGCTCACGTATCCACAACCCCACAACCCTCATGTGAAGAACCAGACAAGTGCAGTTATAGATCAAATTGATATACATCTTGATTCTTGTTTCTGCATCAATTTCACATACCTTCTTTGCTCACGTATCCACAACCCCACAACCCTCACGTGAAGAAACAGACAAGTGCAGTTATAGATCAAATTGATATACATCTTGATAACCATCTTTGCTTACGTATCCACAACCCAACCCTCACGTGAAGAAACAGACAAGTGCAGTTATAGATCAAATTGACATACATCTTGATAACCATACTTTGCTTACGTATCCACAACCCCGCAACCCTCACGTGAAGAAACAACAAGTGCAGTTATAGATCAAATTGATATACATCTTGATATACATACTTTGCTCACGTATCCACAACCCACAAACCTCATGTGAAGAAACAGACAAGTGCAGTATAGATCAAATTGACATACATCTTGATTACATACTTTGCTCACGTATCCACAAACCCCACAACCCTCATGTGAAGAAACAGACATGTGCAGTTATAGATCAAATTGATACATCTTGATAACCATACTTTGCTCACGTCTCCACAACCCCACAACCCTCATGTGAAGAAACAGACAAGTGCAGTTATAGATCAAATTGATATACATACTTTGCTCACGTATCACAACCCCACAACCCCACAACCCTCATGTGAAGAAACAAACATGTGCAGTTATAGATCAAAATTGACATACATCTTGATATACATACTTTGCTCACGTATCCACAACCCCACAACCCTCATGTGAAGAACCAGACAAGTGCAGTTATAGATCAAATTGATATACATCTTGATTCTTATGTTTCTGCATCAATTTCACATACCCTCTTTGCTCACGTATCCACAACCCCACAACCCTCATGTGAAGAAACAGACAAGTGCAGTTATAGATCAAATTGATATACATCTTGATTCTTATGTTTCTGCATCAATTTCACATACTTTGCTCATGTATCCACAACCCCACAAACCCACAACCCTCATGTGAAGAACCAGACAAGTGCAGTTATAGATCAAATTAATATACATCTTTATATCATACTTTGCTCACGTCTCCACAACACCACAACCCTCATGTGAAGAAACAGACAAGTGCAGTTATAGATCAAATTGATATACATCTTGATACATACTTTGCTCACGTCTCCACAACCCCACAACCCTCACGTGAAGAAACAGACAAGTGCAGTTATAGATCAAATTGATATACATCTTGATATACATACTTTGCTCACGTATCCACAACCCCACAACCCTCACGTGAAGAAACAGACAAGTGCAGTTATAGATCAAATTGATATACATCTTGATATACATACTTTGCTCACGTCTCCACAACCCCACAACCCTCATGTGAAGAAACAGACAAGTGCAGTTATAGATCAAATTGACATACATCTTGATAACCATACTTTGCTCACGTATCCACAACCCCACAACCCTCATGTGAAGAAACAGACAAGTGCAGTTATAGATCAAATTAATATACATCTTGATTCTTATGTTTCTGCATCAATTTCACATACCCTCTTTGCTCACGTATCCACAACCCCACAACCCCACAACCCTCATGTGAAGAAAACAGACAAGTGCAGTTATAGATCAAATTGACATACATCTGGATAACCATACTTTGCTCACGTCTCCACAACCCACAACCCTCATGTGAAGAAACAGACAAGTGCAGTTATAGATCAAATTGATATACATACTTTGCTCACGTATCCACAACCCCACAACCCCCATGTGAAGAAACCTAACATTTTTTTTTTTACTCCCACAGAGAAGATGCAGCGGAAGCCTTCCTCGGCCCACACGGGGTACATCATCACCGTCTTCAGGGTATTTGAAGGGAACGACGGCGTCAAGTTTGAGAGGAACTGGCTAGGGTGGACGGGTGAGTTGGCCTCGTGTGGTCGGGCATTTAAAGAACATGGGAGACTATTAGGTCTGTTCTTCTTTATTAGATCTGTTCTTCTTTATTAGATCTATTCTTCTTTATTATTCTTATTCTTATTGATGATGGGCATTTTAAGAGCATGGTCTATTAGATCTGTTCTTCTTTATTAGATCTGTTCTTCTTTATTAGATCTATTCTTCTTTATTGTTGATGATGGGCATTTTAAGAGCATGGGAGACTATTAGGTCTGTTTTTCTTTATTAGATCTATTTTTCTTTATTAGATCTATTCTTCTTTATTATTGATTTTTATTTAGATCTCTTTATTAGATCTTTTTCTTTATTAGATCTATTCTTCTTTATTATTGACGATGGGCATTTTAAGAGCATGTTAGATCTGTTTTTTATTAGATCTATTTTTCTTTATTAGATCTATTCTTCTTTATTATTGACGATGGGCATTTTAAGAGCATTTAGATCTGTTCTTCTTTATTAGATCTATTTTTCTTTATTAGATCTATTCTTCTTTATTATTGATGATGATTTTAAGAACATGGGAGACAATTAGATCTATTCTTCTTTTATTAGATCATTCTTCTTTATTAGACGATCATTTCATTCAATTAGATCTGTTCTTCTTTATTAGATCTATTTTTCTTTATTAGATCTTCTTCTTATTTAGATCTATTCTTCTTATTATTGATGGGCATTTTAAGAAGACATTAGATCTGTTCTTCTTTATTAGATCTATTTTTCTTTATTAGATCTATTCTTCTTTATTATTGATGAATGGGATTTTAAGAGCATGGGAGACAATTAGATCTGTTCTTCTTTATTAGATCTATTTTCTTTATTAGATTATTCTTCTTTATTGATCATTCATGGGAGACAATTAGATCTGTTTTTCTTTATTAGATCTATTCTTCTTTATTAGATCTTTCTTCTTTATTAGATCTATTCTTCTTTATTAGATCTATTCTTCTTTATTAGATCTATTCTTCTTTATTAGATTCTATTCTTCTTTATTAGATCTGTTTTTCTTTATTAGATCTGTTCTTCTTTATTAGATCTATTCTTCTTTATTATTGATGATGGGCATTTTAAGAGCATGGGAGACAATTAGATCTGTTTTTCTTTATTAGATCTATTCTTCTTTATTAGATCTATTCTTCTTTATTATTGATGATGGGCATTTTAAGAACATGGGAGACAATTAGATCTGTTCTTCTTTATTAGATCTATTCTTCTTTATTAGATCTATTATTGGATCTTCTTCTTTATAATTGATGAGGGGCATTTTAAGAACATGGGAGACTATTAGATCTATTTTTTTATTATTGATATTAGATAGTTTTTTTTTAAAGATTATATACATTGGTCTTCTTGGTCATCAGGTATGGGGAGGTAATTTATCTGAATCTTATTTTGGGCTATTTTGGTCATCTTCAATTTTCTTCATCTTCTTCAGGATTATTGTGGTCTTTTAGATAGACAGTTGATGATAAGGTCTGTTCAGTTGATTTACTAGAATCATTCTGAGGCTTCATTTAGTTATGGAAAGATAAAACTAAATACATGCTAAGTATGCATATCTGACATTAGAAGTGTATTTACCAAAATAATTGCATCAACTTCCAACACACACACACACCACTGTATATATATGTGTGTGTGTGTATGTATACGCACTTATATGCACACACACACACACACACACACACACACACACACACACACACACACACACACACACACACACACACACACACACACACACACACACACACACACACACACACACACACACACACACACACACACACACATCCGTCGATGCTGACCTACGGTACCCATGAGCCAGCGCCGCGACCTGACGTCCTCTAAGCTGCCTCTCTCATCCCGCAGGAGCCAGAACGTTGTACAAGAGCCTGACGAGCGAGGTCGGCCTCAAACGCATCACGCTGCACAAGTCGTCGCCGCAGAACGGGACGCTGCACTACGTCCTCATGTGCGACTGCACCAACTTCCTCACTTGCTTCAACAAAGCCGTCAAAGCCGTTCCTTCCTTGCGCATGCGATTATGTGGAGATACGGGGTTATATAGGCCTATATGTTCACTTTGAATCTGTCTCTGGGATTATTTTCCTTTTTCATGTAAGATACTTCTCTCTTTTTTTCTATCCGTTGGTCCCATTAATCTTAAGTTTGTTAGTGTGGCTCATAAGACCAAAGTGTTTATGCGAGGGTTGATTCTTCACGTTAATTCGCTGCATCTCAGGTTGATTTTATGGGTTACAGAGCCTAATGTCTTGTTTTATAAGCTCCACAGCTGACGTACTTTATATGATAGGTTTTTTTTATGATCGACGTGCTGACAATCATTGATTGTTGAGTTGCAAGCGAGGGTAATTGATATATACCCTTTTATTTCTCTTGGCTGATTTACTGGCAAGGGATACATCAGATACTGTACATGTTTGTATATATTATTAATTTGTAGTCTTTCACTTTTTTCCCCAGACGCAGCTCGTATGATCTTGTTTTGTTAACTTTTGGTACGATATTTACATGGGTTTTTCATTCACCATTTTCTATAGTTCTTAGTTGTTTTTACTACTCGGAATCGTTTGTGTATTACTCATATATATATATATATATATATATATATATATATATATATATATATATATATATATATATATATATATATATATATATATATATAGATTTGTTAACAAGCAATGCAGTTTGTCACGTTATGACATAGGGTCTTCGTTGATTATATGACTTCGGTAATGCATGAAAGCAAACAGAAAAAGCAATTGAAGATGAATGCGAGGATGTACACTGAAAGACCAGTTTGTGTCACGTGTGTGTCGGTGCTGACACTTAGGAAAGGTCAAGTAGTCTAATAACAGCAGATAGTAATAGATGTGGTAATATAAAAGGTTCAGTGTTTTTTTGTTATTGCATATTTTCGACTATAAATTTCACTGAGAGTCTTTCCTTACTAATGGTTATATTATGAATTAAATGTGGTTTATATACATGGTGCTAAAAGAGCTTCTGAGAGCAGTGTGTCTTCCCGTCGCGATAGGCCTACAGGAGTGACTGGCAGTTGAGCACCTTCATTCCATTCAGCTTGGACTCGATAGAGGAATTTTGTAAAATGTCTATTTCTTCTGTTAATGGTGTGCCGTCGATACACTTCAAGACGCCCGCACAAGAACAGGTGTCATGCGAATCCACGTCTGACAGTGACAGATATGTTAAGTACCCCCTGTCTGTATCCACTGGAATAATACCTCCTTCCTATACCCGTGTTACGTTGAATCTCAGGTGTGTCTTGTGATGGGTTATTCCCTATATAGTGGTTTTCATCACTATACCGTCGTGATTGTTAATGTAAGATCGTTCACATATTTTACCAATATGTTGACCTGTATTCATTTTTCATAGCCTGTGATAAAAAGACAATAACGATTATAATAAATTTTATGAAAAAAATGGTATTGTTTGAACGATGTCCTTTCCGAGAAATTTTGTGTGTGGTGAATTTCCAAATGCTTCGTGAAAAAGTTTTCCCTATTTATTTAATATATAATAAAATCCAATATGTTTTATGATGCAGATCACATTAGTAGAACAGGATTCAACTTTTTTAAATGTAATGTTTGATTAAACGTGTAAAGTATTTACTTCAGCAAACGTGAACACTTGTATATTTGTAAACGGAATCATGGGTGGTTAACAACACACACTTGGCATTGAGGAAAGTCTAAATATTCCAGTGCATGTTTTTTTTTTTTGCAACTTTCCAAACACTGTAATGCAGAACCTGACATGAGCAAGCAACAGACTTTCATATCCGCTTTTCTGCACACGCACACATATACATATATTGTCTGCATACACACAAATACACACACACACAACACACAAACAGATATATATGTACGTGTGTGTGTGTGCGCGTGCATGTGTGTGTGTGTGTGTGTGCTCGCGCATGTGTATGTGTGTGTGCGCATGTGCATGTCTGTGTATGTGAAATAAACCCTAATATGAGCAATACT